CCTTTGGAGTAAGAAATACTCAAAATAGTGCTGCAGGACTCAAGCCATGTGGTCCTGTCCACCAATAAACCAGCTTTCCAAGCAGCCTCCATGTCTCCAGTGTCTTTTTCCCCACTTGGAGCCAAACCCAGAAGGACATTTCTTTAATCAACATTGAATCAGACTATTAAACAGGTTGGTGATGGTTTCCTGCCCTACATGAACCCTAGCAATTGTGAGCTTCATTGCCATTTTTCAGAATTTTTGTTTTTTTCAGTTTCCCACTCTGGTAGTATCCTATCCACATACTACCCAGTGAAGATCTTTTTCAGCTTTTAAGTCTAGTTGGTCAAACACTGTCATTTGCCAGGCCACTCCTTTACTAAGAGTGTTAAAACTGAAGGGTCAGAAAACAAGTGAGACACAATTTATAAGATTTTATTCCTGTTGATACTTGAGAATTTACATGAAAACATGATTCTGAAAAGATTTTATTTTGTGGTTGGGAAGTAAGGATTATTCTGGGATCCTATTTAGGCAACAATGGGATTCGAGTATATATGGATATGTTCATGACTCCATATGGGTGTATTATAAATGTCGCCGAAGTACCAATAGAAGACAATATTCTAGCACTGATGATGTTACCTAGCTGGGTAATGAAACGTCTGCAAGAAAACTAGCATCAAGGGCCCCACTGTCCCAGAAGTGGACAGAAATTGAAAGATGTTTAGAGATTAAAATGTTTGGAAAGGTCATTTTAGAGTCAGAAAATTTTGCACCTCACCCTAAAACAGGCCTCCATTTTACTGAGATTATTTTATTCCGATATTTAATTGGGACATGATTCCTGCAGCACTATTTTGAGTATTTCTTACTCCAAAGGCATTGGAGTCTAGAAAAAGCTCACTGCCTGGGAATATTTTTCCAAAATAGTTGGATACGATTGGGGGGTATAGAAGAGATGTACTAATACATAACATTTTCTCCTTTTAAATCTTTTTCAAAAGATGTCATTGGGGCAAATCACGTTTGCATTTCCTGCAATAATGTCCTGGATCCATTCAAGATAATCGAAGACCTTGGTGTAGACGCCAGGCTCAAGAGGTTGGGCACAAGGAAAGTGCCCCCAAGATACAATGCCCTGGATTTGTCCATCACAGATAAGGGGTCCTCCAGAATCACCCTGTTAAGAAAAATCAAACATGGAACATCACATTAAAGGTAAAGATTCTTGCACATATGATCCCAACTCTAGGGGGCGGTGCTCATCTCTGTTTCAAAGCTGAAGAGCCAGTGCTGTCTGAAGACATCCCCGTGGTCATGTGGAGGGCATGACTAAATGCCAAAGGCGCATGGGACGTTGTTACCTTCTCACCAAAGGTGGTTCCTATTTTTCTACTTGCATTTTACTTGCTTTCGAATTGCTAGGTTGGCAGAAGCTGGAACAAGTCACGGGAGCACTGGGGATTCGAAGCGCTGAAATGCCGACCTTTCTGATCAACAAGCTCAGTGTCTTAGCCACTGAGCCAGCACGTCCCTTCCCATCTGTGAATGGGAAGTGGAGTAAACGGTTCCTTCTTCCATCGTCCATTTATATATAACGTCAAATGTTTCACTTGGGTGTTCCCCAATCCAGGATCCTTCTACAATTTAACTCCTAAGGTTTCCTCCACCAGCATCACCACCACTATTGAGTAGTCTGGTAATCCAGACACCTAGAAGGCACTGGAGTTCGAAAAAGCTGTAACTTGGTATGTATGTTTCTACAAGATCCCTTCAAGACTGGACCTCTTATCATAGCTTTGAAAACTGGCATCGTATCTTTAGAAGTCTGTCTTTGAAGGGATCATCTTACCTTACATGAATCTTTGTCTCCTTCCAGTTCACCTGCACAC